GTGGGTGGATCACTTGACGTTAGGAGTTCGAGATCAGCCTGGCCAACATGGCGAAACCCTGTCTCCACTAAAAAAACAAAAAATTAGCTGGGCGTGGTGGCGGGCACCTGTAATCCCAGCTACTTGGGAGGCTGAGGCAGGAGAATTGCTTGAACCTGGGAGGTGGAGGTTGCAGTGAGCTGAGATCATGCCAGCCTGGGCAACTCCGTCAAGAGTGAAACTCCGTCTCCAAAAAAAAAAAAAAAAAAGTAAAGTATAAAACAACTTTAAGTATCAAATATATAGTTAATATATTCTAATGTTTTTTATGGTAGTTATGCTAGATTCCCCATCTTCATTCATATTCTGAACTGTGAAAATCTGAAGAAACAGATTTTTCTCCTCACTTGCAACCCTAGTTTTGGTAAGTTTGGAATTAGCATACATTAGATTCAGCTATTGCAGATATTGAAACAAAACCTCATGCTCTGTTTGCATATCTAAGTTCAATTTCCAGAACTTAGAATTTTAAGTTAAAAAAAAGCAGTATGGAAACATAACCTTACAAAATTTGCATAGTTTTATACCCTGCAAATATTGTTTTGATCCCCAATCCTACAATGACCTTTAAATAATCAGAATAAAGTTTCTCACTACTCAGAGAGCCTTAAGATTTACTTGGCACTCTAAGTTAACCATATGAAAACTTTGAAGCACAAAGGAATAGTAAATAACACAACCATTTTAAGTTACCATGGCCTGTCATTACAGAATCATTAAGCAATATTTTCAAGGAGTAAGCAGAAAGCTTTATAACTCAAATGTGTAAGATTTTCTTCTGTGCTTTATGGGCTAAGTTATTTGCTTTCTAGTTAAGAATACGGAATATTTAAAGCCACACCTCATAAATTATAAAATTCACTTCATGTTAATTTTCAGCATTCTTCATAAAGATAACACCATAAATTAAGTTATAAAAACAATATGGAAATTCAATAATCAAACTCAAACTGTCTGTATTTACACACACAAACACACAGTAACATAATTAAGAGGCTGGCTAGCTTAAGGTATACAGAAAAATTACTTTACTCAGAAAAAAAGAATTAAATATCTTTAAAGATAAAGATTTCTGGCCAGGTACCATGGCTCATGCCTGTAATTCCAACATTTTGGGGGACCAAGGCAGGAGGATTGCGTGAGCCTAGGAGTTCAAGATCATGCTGGGCAACATAGGAAGACCCTGTCTCAATCAATCAATCAATCAGTCAGTAAAATTAGCCAGGCATGGTGGTACACACTTGTGGTCCCACTTACTCGGGAGGCTGAGGTGGGAGGATCACTTAAGCCCAGGAGGTCGAGGCTGTAGTGTGTTGTGATGGAGCCCCCACACTCCAGCCTGGACGACAGAGTGAAATCCCTCTCAAAAAAAAAAAAATAATAAACAAGTAAGATTTTTCATAGTTTACTGATTAAAGTACTCACTGGTTTAGAATCTAGTTGTGGGGACTGGGCATGGTGGCTCATGCCTGTAATACAGAGTGAAAATCTCTCAAAAAAAAAAAAAATAATAAACAAGTAAGATTTTTCATATTTTACTGTTTTTTGGCCAAATGGATGTAAAGGAAAATATATTCTCTATATTACGTATTTTTTTATCTAGCTGCAAACTTGAATTAAAGAATGAATTTCAAAGTGTATAAAATAAACTGATTATCTAACTCAAACCTATACAACTCTTACTCGGATCAGGTCCCTTGCTGACAATAGCAATACTATCTGTTTACATGAAGATATGTATACAAACATTTTACAAGGAAACGTAAGCACAAAAAGCAGCAGAAGAAAGTACACACAACTCTGGCACTACATACTTCATACTTATCTGTAGTTGTCTACTCAAAGCTTAAAGAGAGAGGATAAAATAGTTAAGAAGGATAGAAAACCTAGCTTTCCATACTTCCAGCATCATCTCTTCTTGGCACTGAGAGTTCCCTGTTTTACAGAATATTATAAATCCCAGAACAGGATAAAATTCAAAGAAATTCAGAAATGGAATTTAGAGGTTATCTTTTCCAGGTAGCCTAATTTAAAGATGTGAAGACTGCGCTACAAAGTCGATAAGAAGGTAAGACCACAGTTTAGTTCCTATGACTTCCCCACTACAATCTTCTCCTTCTCTTACCACCTACAGAGATGCAATTGTCAATAGCAAAATATAATCCAGAGATAAATTCTTTCTGGTAACCTGCCATTTTTAACACCGACAACATTTGTTCCGGAGAGGAATAATTTAAGAGTTACACGTATTTCACTTCACAACGGAAGTAGAAACAACTCATATTATTTAGGTCTCCCTTCTTGCTGTAAGAACTTTCCAGAACACAGGATCAGGAATAGTCAAAGGGCTGACATGTCTTTCATTGCCCTTCCTGTCTTTCCACTTCCCATGTGAACAAACTCCACCCTGATAACCCTGTAACCTCCTTTACATACAATTTGATCAGTAACCACCTTTCTTCATCTGAGAAAGAAACGACAATGAAAAACTATAGCCACCAACACTAAGCACTTTGCTTGCTACTTTAGACTCCTATCTTTTCCTCTACTCTGAATATTCTAAATATAGTTTATGTTCCTGGGGTTTCTCATCCTGCTGTCTTTGCAAACTATAAGTTCCAAAGGCATGTTTCTGCTGTTTTATTAGGTGTGTGACAATGGAAGTAGTAATTCTGACTACTTCATGAATGAATAATGTATGTGAAGGTACTCTAAATTGTAAAGTTTAAGATAAAAGTAGTACCTCTATCCTATTAGAATGATAAGTAACAATACAAACAAGTAAAAAGTTTCTAGGAAATTACAGCGTACATTAGGGATTTAACTAATCTTAACAGAAATTAATCTTCTGACATAACCCAGAAAAATAAAGCAGTAGCACCTAACATTCAGTACATCATACATTTGTCAATGGTTATTTTTTTTAAAGTTTAATGAGTGATACGCTACACTATGCTCAATTTTAGGAGAAATTACTTTCATAATATTATAAATTATTTATTGCTACTTTTGGACACAATTATTGCCTATGAATACCAAAATGATTAAAACCTACAAGTTTAAAAATGTCTTTAAAGTAAAATTATTACAGCTTTCTTAATACTGTCTTAATTTTCCAGATAAACCTACTTAGGCATTAGACATGGCACTCAAATAAATTTCTAATTTGTTTAAGTAAACATAAAAGAAAACCTAATCAAAACGGCTCGTAAAACAAAAGAAACTCACTCAATGTCTTCCTAACAGCTTAGTTCTAAATTAAAACATACATACTCAGCCCACACAGAGTAAGATTTTGTACTGTCAAATAAACATTCATCCAAGAATGCATGCAAAGAAATTAGAATTTTATTGAAAATTCAAATGTTACCTCTGTTTTTGTAAAATGAGCTAGGCTTAACGTACAGTAGTCAAAATTACATTGAATGAATGACCTGAAATGAAAAAACTGTTTTTCTTCACAAATATCATACTACTAGCTAGACAAAAAAAGAAGCATCCCTTTTCGTGGCAATACTAACTCACTTTAATTTAGGATGGAAATAACCAATAGAAAAATATGTGATGACTGCATTTCACTCAAGTATTTTTTTAGGCCTTCTAATAATGTATAGTATAATCTCCAAATAAAAGATTTCACCCAAAAATATTCACAGAAGGACTATACCAAGAAACTATTCCATTCCTGTATCTTCTGCTTTCTCTATTTCATCCAAAAGCAAGCATTCCTAATACTTATAAAAAGGCCTTGATGTTTTATATAGGTATCTTTCTAAAAGATTAAAGAACCATACAGGTAATTATAATTTACTGGAAGTATATAACACGATCTTAAAAATGGCATAGTAAAAATAACTTTCTAGGCTCAATGAAATAAAGGTAACTTTAGCTAGGTATCTGTTATTGTTAATAAACAACCGAAATCTTAACCAAGTTTGGTATTTCAGCATTCTCTTTCATGTCTCAGTTTATTAAAATTAAACAACAAATAAGGTTAAACAATAAAAACAAGCTCTTAGGTAAACAGTTTCTAATTTAAAAACAAAAAGACAAAAACCACCTACATTTTTCCTTAGGGGATTAAAATTTTTCCTACATGATGTTGACCTCCAGCTTTGTATTTGTCTCCAAGTAGTACTAAGTTATTAAGTTTGAACAGAGATTAGTTTAATATTCTAAAGAATTGGTTTTAAGGTTGGGACTGACTGGTCATCTTTTCTCTCAAGCTCTATTAAAAGCCTTTTTTAAACAAACGTTATCAATAAAACATCTTGACTTTAGACATATTTAAATAAACTGAAGCAAAAATACAAACAATGCTCTAATATCTGCTCATGAAATATTCAGTAATTATTTCTATTTTTACTCCCTGACCACCATTGTTTACCAAACTGTGCCTAGGTTTACATCACTTTTGCTGCCTGTAAACAGCCCTGGCTAAAATATATATGAACAAGGTTCACTTAAAAAAAAAAGATGTTCACGTAACTCTAAGTTTTTTTTTTGTTTGTTATCTTTTAGCACAGATAATCAAAGATCAAAACTTTAAGTACCACATAGCTAATGATCAAAGAGTATAATCCTCTATCACCCAGGAATATACACAAAAGCACCAAAAAAAAAAAAAAAAAAAAAAAGGTAATTGTAGTCATATTCTGATGAAGCTGGACTATTCCAAAAGAAAAAACTGAAAAAGATACAAAATGATTTTTAAAAGTGGCCATAAATGATCTAATTTCCAAATCAATGAATCGATGAATATTCCAGGCAAATAACATTAGAAAACTAACAGTGCCATTTTTTCTCTCAAAATTCCAATACTATACAAAATAAAGAATACAGTCACCATTATATGATAAACCTTAGAAAATCATGATCAAGACTGAGCATACAACTATTCAGCTGAGGAGTAATCACAGCATTCTACTTACGAAAGAAAAAAAGAAAGTCAAAAAACTCACTTTATATAGTATCTTGCACCTTCAAAAGTATATGCTTCTTCCCAGCCAGTAGGCAAATCTAAAACAATACATATATTACAATTAGTATTACTTCAATGATAGCAAAATAAGTTTCAATCAATTTTAATTATTCATTTTCATTTATTAGCTGTTTTAAGTAGATTACTAACAAAAAAAAGTGTTGAGCTGCCAATACAATAGTAGATATCATTTTTTGAAAAATAGCAATTCAAATTTAAAGCCATCAGAAAAATGTCCACAATATTAGAGATTATCTGACCTGAGTACACATTGTAATATATTAGGGTGGAGAGGAACTATGTTCTGGCATCCAAGAAAGCAAAGGGAGGCCTTCTAATTCCAGGTGAAACACTCATGAATGACTAGCAAAAAACCAAAACTGTGCGTAACAGGCAACGCCTGCCTCTTCTTGTGCATACTATACTGTGTCTACTTAAGATCATTTTTTTCAGTTACACAAATGAATCCATCTAGGAAGTGTCACCGAAGAGAATGCAGAACTTCCTAAGTACTTAATTAATGGAAAAGAAACGGCACCGAATACTTCCGTGTTTGTTTCCAAAAATTTGACTAAGAGACGTGAAGTTTCAAGTAGTAAAGTTGGGAATAATTCAGGTGAACAATGGTATCATTATGTGCTACATATTACTTATTAATGACAAGTTGTTTGGATTTCATCAAAATACCTCTTGGAAGTAAAAACAACTGATGTGTGTACAAAACCACAGAGTCCAAGCAAAATAAACCAAACCAGAAAAAAAAAATAAGTGAAATCACATAAGAGAACAACATTTTTCTGTGGCGTGAATGTTATCAAATCTGTGAGGGTAACTAGGACACATATTTATATCACACATATTTCCATAGGATAATTATTTAATCTCGTCTTTAATGAAATATCGTCTTTAATGAAATAAATCTGTTATTATCCATAGAAGCAAAGAGGCCATCAAAGTTGGAATATGCGTGTAAAACACCAGAAAGGTATATTGAAGCAAAAGCCTGCACCGGGGAATTGAGAAACATGACGGTGTATTAGTCAGAAATGCCTTAAAAATGTAACCTCATCATGCTTGCTACACAAGCCTTTCCTTTCTTCCTCCACCTTTTTGCAAATCTGGAGACATTAGTCACTTCAGTGAACTCCAGCATTTCACAGAGAAGCAGGTTTGTTCAATATCCTGGCAACTTTAACAGATTCACGGAATGTCAGAGTCGGAGAGAGTGTATCCCAGAGGCCAGCTCTGAGGACTGCTGAAACTGGCCTTGCCTTCGACCCAAACTGCTCTCAAACCTTTCCAATCACCAGGACTGGAGGCAGGCCAGTAAGAGAACACATGTTACATTTCAAAGACAAACAAGTTTCACAAATGTAAACAAAGAATGATAAAAGAAACCCAGACCAGCACAGAAACTACGAGGAGCCTTTTCTAGCTCCACTCACACTGAGCATTCAAACAAGCTCCCAAAGCCATCCGAGAGAGCCGCTTCCCCACGGACCCCCTCCAAACAGGGCCCGGTGTCCACACACGGGACACCCCCTCGCACGCCCACTGCCTCCTGGCAGTCTGTGCAACCTCCGTGCGGCTGGCGGGGACTTTAGATCCGGATCGCCAACAACTGAGGCTGCGAACGCCTCCTCCGGCTCCGGCTGCTCCTCCTGTGGCAGGAGGGAACGCGCCAAGCGTTTTCCGAGCCGCTCCCTGTCACAGAGCGGATCGCAGCACCCCCGAACTCCTCTCCTCCTCCTCCATCAGCCACCTACCCACAAGTCCCACCTAAGAGGAGGAGGAAGCTGCACGGCAGGAGGCAGCGCTCCCGGGAGGAGGGGGAGGATGTGGTTACGTTATCCCGGCGGGCGAGCAGGGTCTGGGGCTGCAGGGAGGGGAGTGGGCAAGGACTGCCTAAAGGTTGCTGAGGGGCAAGACGGCAGCTGGGGGTGGCCGGGGAATGAGTAGCGGCGGCGGAGGAAAAACTCAGGACTCCAGGTTTCAGGGATGGGAGCGTCGCCACTCCAGGGGCGCAAGGGTCGTCTAGGCTGGGATGGGGGAGAGGGCGCAGGAAGAGGGCGCCGTCTCCAAGTTCTGATGAAAGGCTGAGGAGAAAGAGGAGCCCCGAGACTGGAGAGAACTCCCGGCGGCGGAGCCCCCGTGGCCCTTCTACCTGCGGCCGCCCCCTCCCGGCCTCCGCCCCG